TTATAATTTAATTTTTTAACAATATTATTTTATACTTACAGATCGATATGGATTTTAATGTTGTCTTCGATAATGCAGATGTGCTATTAATTATTTGGAGCAAGAACTTCGACAAGTACCTTGAATTTTTAAGTAATGTAAATAATGATAAAGACAAGAATATTAAAGCTTTTTTTGGAAAACCCAAAGACCAATAATAGTATTTCTAAAAGTAAGTCACATTACCTATTTAAATTTAATTAAAATATATATAACCATTTATTTATTGCATAGGTATTGATATATTTTCTACTAAAGAAATTTATATTTTTTAACAACATTAGTTTTAATTTTTTAAATATTTTTTGTTTTTAATCTTTGTTTTTTGTTTAAGTTTTCCAGCTAGAAGAGCAATTAGACTCAGCGAAGTGATAAAGCGAAAAAAAGTTTTTTAATTTGCAACAGCTACTCAGAAATGATGTGTGGAAACTTTAATAATGATTATGTGATATATCACATTTAGTTTTTTTCAATAGGTTTAAGTTATATTTGTATTATTTAAAAAAAAAATAAATAAAACAATAAATATATTTTTTTTTATTTTTCCTTTGTTGTCAAAAGTCATTTCATAAGTTATTAGTATTTGCAAGTCTATGAAATTCATCATTAACATTGGCAAATTCACAGCAAAGCGCACATGCGGGAAATGACAGAAAAAATTTGTTGGTGTGGTGATGGAACCCACGTTAAGGTTTTTTCTGTCTTTTCCAACTTTTAGTAATTGTTATAATTAATCAGTTTATTAATGTAATGAACTTAATTTATCGATACAATAATTCTACTCTCTAAAAATGAGTTAGTCAAAAATGACTAATTTAAAAGTTATTAGTGGCTGCTTTTTCACTTGTACCATGGTTAACCATAAAATACCATGGTATCCCAAAATTGAATGGCCAATTCTTATGTAAAATTGTCCCCTGAATCTGAAAATGTCGTCAAAAGTTAAAAAAGTAGGACAGTTTTTGAGATATAGTCAATTTTCCATTTAATATGGAATTGACTATATATTAAAAACTGCTCCACTTTCATAATTTTTGACGGTATTTTCGGATTCAGGGGACAATTTTACATAAGAATTGGCTGTTAAATTTGGGATACCATGGTATTCCATGGTTAACCATGTACAAGTGAAAAAGCAGCCACTAATAACTATTAAATTAGTAATTTTTGACTAATTCATTTTTAGAGAGTAGAATTATTGTATCGATAAATTAAGTTCATTACATTAATAAACTGATTAATTATAACAATTACTAAAATTCATTGTATTGAAAATGTCATTTGTTGCCTCAGCTACAATAGTTCGTTAAGAGTATGAATATATACATTTGATCTATATTTAACAGTATCTACGAATAAAATTAATTGTAATAATAATTTTTATTCTTTCAAACTATTACTAATATTGATAAGACTAATAAAACAAATACATATAATTAATAACTAACAATTGTCGAATTAACAAAATATAGTTATTTAAAAAATAAATAGTGTTCGTTACAACAATAACATATTTCATTGAATAAACAAAACTAACATTTTCTTTTCAATGAATTGATTTTTATTAATAAAATTAATTATTTATTGGTTAATAAATTCTTTGATCAATTAATGAAATGTGTTTCATTGATTTGATAAAATCGATCGTTGGACCAAAATCAATGTTGCATTTCATCTAGACAATGAACTTTTTTATTGCATTTACGCTACTTTTTGGTTCAGTGTACACGCCACTTGGTTATATTTAAATTTTTAAATATTAATCATTTCAGCAAAAATAGCTTCCCACATTTTTTCAGGCTTTTTATTTGGAATGTTCCCAGTTTTCTTTCATATTTTTTCAACATTTATCATTTTTTTGTATACAAACTCTGCATATACTATACACTATAGTGTTTATGTTTTTCCTTTAATATAGAACGTCCTGCTTCAGAAATGTATAAAAAGTTCAAGTTAATTTACCGGTAAGTATATTTATATTGTTATAAATTTAATTACCTTTATAGTTTTCATGTATGATATTATCGTAAGTAATATCATAAGGGCATTTAATTTTTCCGAAAAGAATCGAAAAAACTCGTTGCTAAGTAATATTTTAATAAAAAGCTGGTGGCAACAAAAATCCGAGTCGAAGAGGAGGATTTTTGCACCTGCACGAATGCATTTTGTTAAAAAATATTACTTAGCATTGTGTTTTTTCGATTTTTTTCACAGGAAAAATTAGATGCCCGAATGGTATTTGACAAGACTATTTCATGAGTAACAGTTAACAATTAAAATATAAATTGCAATTTTTGGTGACAACAGCTGTCAAGTTTTGCCGCGGGTAAACTCGAATAAACTGCTGACAGGTGCTGTCACACAGTTTTTTCACCTAGAAACAATTTGTAATTCAAAATTGCGCATTTGTGATTGGTGGAAATTTAGACGAGGGAAATAGTCATTATTAAATTTAAGTTTTGGTGTTTGTATAGTTACTAATATTAATTATAATTGAGAAAATTGTAAAATTGTATTAAAATATTAATTCATTTATATTATTATTAGTGTTACCTGTAGTGTTTTACATTTTTGCTGGTACATAAAATATAATATTTATTATTATTACTACACCCTAGTAGTAGGTACTACTGGCTAATACCATATTAATATTTAGACCACAATCCATTGTAATTTAGACTATTAAAACAGATTACAAACTATAGTATATTATGTCATACGACGTCAATTTTTCGCACGTTGTAAGGGACAGTAATAAACGCAAATGTGTATCGTAGTCTATAGACTACGATTCGTAGTGTACTTATTATGGTATACAAATAGAAAAAATAATTTTATAGGTTATGTTTTACACTCCCGCTTCTTTTTTGATGACTTCTTAAGAATAAACTATCGTTCCAGCTAAAATCCGAAACTGTCCATTTCGCGTAAATAGTTTGTGACTCTTTGCAGAAACAAACCATATATACAACATCAGAATCTATAGCACGCCCTTTTAGCATTTTCTTACACTCAAAACAATTGAAAGTCAAAAAAAAAAATATCCTACAAAATTATCGGTTTAAATTTATTATAAGAGTCATTTAAATAATGGTCGATACATTTTCAATCCAAAAATTATCACATTAGATTTAAATGAACTGGCTAAATAATCTGAAATAGGCAAAGATCTACAAATCTCGTTAAGCTGGAGGGGGGGAGAGAAGGTTTGAACGATTTTCCCGAGGGAGTTTTTTATAAGTCACGTTACAAAGTAAATCGAATGAAATTGATACATTTTTCCATTTTTAGTCAGTTAATTAATTCGCCACATGACTCTTTACGGGAGTCTTTACATCGTCACATTCAGTCACAAGAGAGGGAAAAGGGTCAATTTTGATCATTTTTAGTAATAAGGTTTATGAACAGAATGAAATATTAAAAGTACAATTTTTAAAATTTTTTAAACTTTTACGGATGCATTTCTAATTTAAAATATTGTTTAACTGTCATTTGTTTTAATTTTATTTATTAACTTATTTGGTAGACATTTTTTTATGTGTTTTTATTTTAAATGTCTTGATAGGTATACTATTTTTACATAGGTACTAAATAATTTAACTTTACCAATTTAATCTCAATCAATTTATAAAATGTTTATTTAAGATTTACGAAATTTTTCCCAAATAAATTAAACTTAATAAATATTTTTTATTAAAAAGTGATTGCAATTATTATTAGTTATCTTTTCCTCCACGCGGAGAAGCGAATTGGTGTTGAACTGTTATTAGACAATATTATATATGAGATAAAATTTATTAAAAATAAACGATCTAAGAACTGCAACGAGAATTTAATATAATTGCTTAAAGATCGTATTTACCTTCTTTGTACATTTTTGTGCATTTAATTTGCTAAGGAGTAATTTATTTACCTAAACACAATGATAAAAAGAATTAGTAAATAAAAAATATCGCTTAAACGAAGTCAAATTAAAATTTTGTTTTTTAAAGAAGTGCTCTTCTTACAAATAATAAAATAATAAATAATAAATAAATGCAGTAATGTTTATACAAATTAGTGATGCCGCGAGACGAGACGAGACGAGAAAAGTCCTTCTCTCGTCTCGTCTCGTGCAGCGAGAGAAAATGGGTCTCTCGTCTCGTCGAGAATACTCTTTTCTCGCTCGAGAGTGCCTTTCTCTCGTCTCGTCTCGTTTCTCTCGTGGTAAAAGTACCTAAGTATGAATACAAAAATTATTTGGAATGAAATACGAATTCGTGTATATTTTTTTATATAGAAATTTAAACTGGAAATAAAAAAAATGTGTGCCAAGACCACACTAATAAAGTAAGACTTTTTACGCCGAAAATGTCGCACATTTGAATCAAATGGTTGGATCTATGTGGAGTAGTTACATCTAGTATAGGTTTTTCTTTTAACTTGAGACAGCTCAATATCTCGTGAAATACGCATTTCACAGAAAAATGTCTTAAACAAAATTTTAATTTGACCAAAGGGGGCATTATTTGGTGCTACCGCTAGCCACCCCCTACCCCTCCTTAAGGGTGAAACGGGGGGTAAATTTAGAAAGTCAAAAGGAATGACCCGATTTTTTTCACAGATTTTGGTAGTACATAAAAAAATTAAAAACTTTTATTTGAAACTTTTTTTCAATTTATCAACAGATGGCGCTGTAATTCAAAATTTAAGAAAATTGGATTTCCTTGTAAAATGTATTATTTGAAACGTTTGAAAAACAAAAATTAACTTTAAATCAACAATAGTCGGCTCTGAAAACAATTTATAACAAATGTTCAAAATGTCATCTTTTCATTTCGACACATTTTTGAATGCGGGTAATGAATTCTGGCTCCACCATGTCCTCCAGAGTTGTAGGAATTTCAGCGTAAACTTTTTCTTTCAAGTAACGCCACAGGAAGAAGTCTGGCAGATAGTTTTCTAGAAAGTTCCGGTACTTTTCACCATTTAATGCCGTTCGCCAAAGGTACCGCACCAAACGTTTCTAAGAAACGATATATCATATTCATTTGGGTTGCTTTGTGACACAACTTGACCAATAAAATGGGTGGTGACCATTGGCGTAACTACAGGGGGGCCTAGGGGCGCCGGGCCCCCCCCAGACATCGCTGCCCCCCCCCAGGAAAATGCTGACTTTTATCTGTTTCAATTTTTTGTTATTACCAAAGCAGTTGCCGTGTGAATACACGAATAATAGTAATATTATCAAAGAAAATAGAGAAATATCTGGACAGTGCGTTTTTATTAAACTTAATATTAAAGAAAGTGTTATAATATGGATAATAGATTCTTTCGCTCCTTTATAACATTTAGGACTGTAGTTTAAGAGTTGGTGTTTTAAATTTTAAAACAGAAGCGGTCTTAACGTTATAATTGTCTATTCTTTTGTATGGCATTTAACCACTGTTAGTACAAATCAGTTTTTCGGGAATCGATTAAATTTAATGTTTTTATTTAAAGGGTTTTTCTTGGACTAGTTGTCCGAATTGCATCCAAATATGCCACACCGCATTTTAATAAATGCAAATGGCACGACACAAACTAAATCACAAACAAAACAAGTTAACGCAACACAAAAACAATAATAAACAAACAGAACAGGTTAACACAACGCAATAACAATAATTTGAACACTGAAAAGTAATTCGAACCTTACTGAACGCAAAAACAACAAGTTAAACAAAAAATAGAGCAAGTAAACATCCAACAGCATCGCAAAAACAAGAATTTTAGCAGCAGATAACTAAAGATTTAAAAATACACAACAAGTGACGTATTTAAGCCCCGCCAAAATGCGCACATACACTTCTTCTTCTTCTATACTTTTTATTCTCTCTTTCGAGAGAATTGGACTTGAGCCACTTAGGCTCTTACTGCCCAGTTACTAGTTTTAACGTCAAATGATTTCAGAAGAACCAAAAACCATTGGACAACGGTTGTCTAACGAACACGTGGACACAAATAGGTTATGTAACCTTAAAATTTATAAATTTATATAATTTCCTCTTATCCCTTGTTTAAGGACCAATCGAGTAATATTATCGAGAAACAGGAATATTTCTATTCCGGGAATCCAATTTTGTTCCTCCTAGGTCGAAGAGTCACCTATATTTCACACTTTTCATTGAGCGGTCCGTACCCTAGCACCAACAAAATCGAACTCCGCACATACTCTTTCTTTCATAACAACAAACGGTCATGCGCGGTACAAACGGTCATCAATTATATTTGGACACGTCCTCAAGATCACATTGTAGTCAGATCAAAAAAATTATTATTTGTGCCTTTTGTTTTACTACTTAAGATTCTTAGTCACAATAACAGGCCCACCCTAGGCCCCCCCGGGTCAGATGGCTAGTTACGCCAATGGTGGTGACTCTTTTTTTTTCAGCAAACTTAACAATCACATAATTGCCATCAGCTAAGAAAAACTTTTGACCGGTAGGCTCTTCATCTGAGTCTGAATAAAGATCGCTATAATGAAGTTTAACAGGAACAGTTTCTGTACAATAAGTTAAAGAAATAATGTGAATTTTGACAAAATAAAATATTTAAAAAAAAAAAAAAGGATACGATTCGTAGAAAATGTTGAACTACAATTTATGTATCCCAAATAGTAGTGCGTGCATTGAATTTCAGGTAAGCGTTCCATACAACTAAGAAAAAGACATTGTAGAAGAGAAGGGTTATTACTGGTCCAAATTATCTCGTGAATTTTCATTGTACCTTTGAAAGGTCTTATAGTATCTGGTACTATGTTGTCAAAATCAGATATATTTTTGGCAGTGGCCGGATAAATCTGTATTTTTTTCTTGTGTACCGCTAGAATATCAACCAGAGACTCAAAGTTCGGAATATCTGATCCCCTAGCGACTAATGCGTCTGCCAGTTGCTTCACTGCTGCCCCTATACCGTCTGGAGCTCCTTTTCCGTGACCAGATTCGCTAAAATGCCAGTATACTTTTTCAGCTTTGAGGTCCTTGGAAATATGATTCGCCAGAATGTTAAACATTTTCTTGTTTCTGTACTGTGTTGAAGGACCATCACTTTGAAAGTGTACAATTTTCACATGTGGAACCAACTGACGCACTTTAGTAAATATAGGTTGCAAATGTGCATATATCGCAATAGAATCATGTCTTAAGTTATCAGATATCGAGCAACAACTTATAGGACGGACAGAGTTTGATTCTGGACATAGGTAGTAAATTACCACAGTATGTAATGATACTTGTGGTTTAGAGCCGCCAAAATGAGCAGATTGTACCTCCTGAGAATATTTGCACTGGTAATTTTCTGAAAAATCCATATGAATTATTACAGTGTCGTTTGTCAAGTCAGTTTTAATTTTGTTAAAAAAATTATACTGATGAATTATGTTTCTGAAGTGTAGCATATATTTAGGTATATTTTGTTTTAGACTAGCTACCAGTTCGCCGCACGTTGTAATTTTATCTTTATTTGTTTTTTGGCAATTTTTTTCTTTATTTTTTATGATAACTTTTTCTTTTTTGACATACCAAGATTTGTACGTTATTTGTAAGTTGGAGTCATACTCATTTACATCTAATTCAATATTTTTACAATTTTCACATATTCTAGATAAGCATTCTTCTTTAAGTTCATTATTACAGCACATGGATTTACAAAGTTCATCGGCAAAACTGTAATTTATTATGTTAATTACCCTTATTTTTCTAACAATTAAAGAAATATTTTCATGTAACATGCAGAGACTTGTATCACGAGATCTAGCATCAGGTGAAAGTATCCAAAATGGTCGATAACGGCAAAATGAAGTGTAGCTTACTGACTTGTAACAAGGGAATTCAGTCTGAAACTTTTTGTGCAAATTAAATAGAGAATCATTTAATAGTCTTTTTTGTTTTTTCACTTTCTTCCTTGTTATAACGTCTTTTTTTCCGGGGAGCATTCGACTAGATTCGTCTTTTTCTAGAAATTTTTTTATAACGTCCATCAATTTCGAAGACTTTTTTTTAGGAATGTTCTGTTGATTGCTACTTTTTAATAACTTTGAAAAAGATATCGATGATAATGTTTTCATAAATCTATACTTTTGTAGTAGTTTTCCATTAATTAACCTAATCAGATCTCTTTTTTGATTAACACTCTTTGTTTTTTTTTAAATTGTCTTTTATTTGATGCGAAATAACCTAACCAAAAAGTAATTTTCTTTTTACTTCTTCTGGTACGTTTTATATTTTTTTACTCTTTTCTGTAGTTTTATTACTTCTTTCCTTAATTCTCGATTTTCCTTTTTTAATTTATCGCGATTCTGCCTTGCTTTCTTCTTTCCACTTTGTTTTTGTCTAGTAGGCCCATTATTGGGTAAATCTTGTTGGACTGGGGGGTGGAGTACTTGCTTTTAACATTTCTTCCATTCTAGATGTTTCCTTTTTAGCTGATCTGTGTTTCCTTGAACGTTCTTTCCACGTTTTTCGCATTACTCTTTTTGCGTCTCACTCATGTCCGAGATAGATTTAATTTTTCCACTTTCTTTTCTTTGATTATATCGCTCCCGTTCTTTCCTTTTATATTCTTCATGTTTAGCAGCATCTCCTTTTATCCGTTCTCTCATTCGTTTCATATTAAGTCTCACTTGTTCTCTCCGCTTCTCATCAGCAGCATTTATTGATTTTTTTTTCGCCATGGCAATCTATATTAAAAGAAAATATATTACAAAAAAGCGCATATCTATATTAAAAGAAAATATATTACAAAAAAGCGCATTTTTCTCCTACAGTTGTCACCCCCGTTATTACATGTCAGCTCCGTTATCATTAAATGATAACGGAGGTGATATAACGGAGGTGGCAGAATTTGAGTATTTATTAATTCACAAATGGTAGATAAATTCTACGACTGTCATAACATTTCATATTCAACTGTATTTTAAAGTAACAAAAAATATATGTTTTATAATTTTTCTTTTGATACTTACCAAAAAAATGATGATAACGGTAATGCCGTAGTATGGTTTACACAGTCGAAAACTAAATAAGATCACACAATGTAAGAAAATGTAGAAAAATGACGTAAATCTGTTAGTGGTCGCTCTCATACTAAACGTATTTAGAACAACGTTGTTTTTTCAATTTCTCATTTGATAACGGAGGTGGCTTTACTTGTAGACGACACACAATAGGTCGCAAATAAAGTATATAAATAAATAAAATCAAATATTTTTTTCTTATGTGGGGAGGGAAAAGCATATTTTTAGTAAATATAAGGGAAATAATAATGTTTTTTAGCGTTCTTTATGTTGTATGTGATATGTTTTAATATAAAATACCCAGGGCGACGGATAACGGTGTTGACTTTGATACACTTTCTTGATAACTTTTTCAATTACAAAAAATACTTATGCACTAATTAGAGAAGATAAAGAATTCGTTCGTACATTTAAAAAGTACCTTGGGACAAAACAAAATAAATAATTGTCCAAAAAAAATTCGAGCGACATAAAAATTTCCTTCTGAATGAAAATGACCCATTATATATATATTAGGGTGTTTCATTTAAAACGAACATTTTTTTTTCTTGTTGACACATGAAAATTTTGTTTTTTAGGTTGAAAAAAAATTCCCTAAAAATTTGAGCCCTTAATTTTGATTCTAAGTACCTACTTCCTTTTTAATTTTGTAGTTTTTCCATATAAAAAGCATGTATTTTTAATAATTTTTACTTTAAATTTCTATATTTTGGCCGGGTTTTGAATTATAATTTTTATCACCATAATTTTCTGCATAGTATTCACGGTTTTTAAAAGGCCCTGCATCAATTTTGTTTTTGATTTATTTACGTTGATTGTAGTAGCTCCAAAAGTCGTTTTTTCACTTTTTTCACGTATTTTTGAGAAAATCGTGCGAATGACTGGTTTTACCGAGGGGGTGTCCACTCTACTGAAAAATGTACATGTATTGCGGAAATCCTATGATTTCTGATGACTGCCATAGAAATTAGGGATTGCGAAGGACTGCGGGTGATTGCCGGTGATTGCCAAGGCATTCATAGAGATTTCTGGTGATTGCGAAGGCAATCCTAGGGATTTCCATGACTGCCATTAAAAATAAATGGAATTCCTAAAAATGTAACTTAGTTTTAAAAAGGTTTTACAGTCTTTTACAGGCATTTATAGAGATGGCGATGGCAATTCCAGGGATTTCCATTACTGCCATTAAAAATAAATGACTTTTCTAAAATTTTAACTGATCTCACTCACTTTTAAAAAGGTTTTATAGACTTTTACAGGCATCCTAAATTTTTGTATAGGTACTTCTAGATATCACAATAAAAAAATACTACTTTACATTATAAAGATATTTTAGGCATGAGAATTTTGATCTTATTTATGTAGGTACATACATACTTGAATATGGCAACCATTAGAAAATAGTTATATATTTCATTGGGCCAAGTAGTAAGTCCTTTTGTACTGAGCTCAAAGTTTGAACGAAGCACAAAAAGATACTTCTTGGCCGAACGGCATACAACATATTATCTTCAAAGCACAATTTTATTTTATAGACGATACATAAAACGTACACTAATTATTATAATAAATGAATATTAAAAGTAGAAAGTTAGGTTGGATAGATCTGACAGAACCCGATTGGTTTAAATAATTTTTAAGTGCCTAGGCCATAATCAATTATTTTATTTAGTGTTTATAATATATGATTTTTTTTTATAAAATCGGGCAAGTGTTTGGTTTTTAAAGGGTAAAAAACTACCATTAGTTTTATTTTCAACTGTAATTAATAGCAGGCCTATTCAGTGTTGCGCAACACAAAAAAAATCTTAGAATATGAAATTTTGTAGCTGTGGCACTAAAAAAACTGTTCTCTAAAATGCCAATATCTTAAAAACGATTTTTTACCAAGGTCATGTTTTGATTTTCTGATTGGTCATGAGTTGTCCTATCATTCCTCCAAAGGATATCGTTGACTTTTGGGCACCCTGTATACAAGGGGCATCTACCGTACCTTCATTTGCAAGCTATACATAGGGAAAATACATTGTAGGTGGACCAGACAAGTCGAAGTCAGCGCAAAGCGAAAAAGTTCTCAGAAATTATTTGGACTTAATAAAATTTTAATCGCCAGTAAACAAGGTCAAATGTTACGTCGAATGTTAGTCTACTCATCCACTTGTCAAAATAATTTTTTCTTACTACCTCAACCGAAAATAAGTTGTTTCGTCCCCGATTCCACGGCAGAAAGTTTACGTTTGATGCATTGGAATCGGGGACGAAACAACGTATTTTCGAGTACATTACACTACAAGGGCTACGAAGGCTTCGCTCGTGCCGCAAATGTCGGGGCAGGCATAAATATGTTTCGATATACACATTTAATTTTTTCCCGTATTTTCGGCCGGGTTGTATTTTCGGCCGAGGTAGTAAGAAAAATAGTATACACTACACGGGCAGAAAGTGTGAGAGCCCTGAACTGCGCGCCATGATGCCCTCGGCTTCGCCTCGGGCATCATGGCGCGCAGTGCAGGAGTCTCACACTTTCTGCCCTTGTAGTGTAATATACTATTATTTACTGAACTAAGAACACAAATGCAAGAAATCGCGGGAGTATGCCGCTCATGTAAATCTCTACGTAGGTAATCGCGATGCGAAGATTGCGGGATTTCGAAGGGACTGCGCAGACTGCAAGCGATTTCGATGGGATTGCGAGGGATTTCGTCGACTGCCTTTAAAGATTGCGGGATTTCTCGCAGCTTTTTAGAACACAAAATAACATAAGTTCACAGATTTCACTAAAATAAAATATTTATTTACTGAACTAAGAACACAAATGCAAGAAATCCCGGGATATATGCCGCTCATGTAAAATCTCTACGAAATTGTCATGCGAAGATTGCCGGATTTCGGAGGGACTGCGCAGACTGCAAGTGATTTCGATGGGATTGCGAGGGATTTCGGCGACTGCCTTTAAAGAATGCGGGATTTCTCGCAGCTTTTTAGTGATTTCGGGGGATTGCGGTAGAAATGTACATGTATTGCGGGAAGTGGACACCCCCTCGGGTTTTACCGAAAATGTTCAAATATAAAAGTTGTAGAAAATTTAATTTTTGACAAAACAGGTTCTCACGTTCATATCACTAAATAATATTTTTATTTTTTTTTATTCAACGGTAAATAACCAATACATTATATATATATATATATATAATATAATATAATTCACATAAAATAAACAAAGCAAAACTTAAAACCAGTATACATAAAATTAAAAGTAAATATCACAGATTCTGAATCGACAACTTAAATCTTTTTAAACTACTACAAAAAAAGTCAATATCCAATTGGTGAGTTAAATCCATAATTGGTGGTATGTAAGCTTACATAGAATAAATAACGGTGTCTTACTTGTCTTTGAGGAACATGAAACTTAAGCAATTCCAGTAATTCTGGACAGTTTATTGCATTATTGATTAATTTGTACAGAAAAATTAAACTCGATTGGTCGCGTCGTATACTTAACGATTGAAGATTCATCATCTGCCTTAAAATGTCATAATTTAGATCATCAGATTTTAAATTTAATTTAAACGCATATGAATGTCATAAAACGGGGACCATATAATATAAAGTGCTTTGTTTAAGAGATATAAGCAATATATAGTTGTTGAATCAAATTACATATACAATGTATATTATACATACATAAATTTCAATAAAACCTATTTTTTCTTTGTTTTTGGTTATTGAATTGTTTATATCTCTTAAACAAAGCACTTTAGTGATATGAACGTAAGAACCTTTTTTGTCAAAAATTAAATTTCCTACAACTTTTTTATTTGAACTTTTTCGGTAAAACCAGTCATTCGCTCGATTTTCTCAAAAATATGTGAGAAAAAGTGAAAAAACGACTTTTGGAGCTACTACAATCAACGTAAATAAATCAAAAACAAAATTGATGCAGGGCCTTTTAAAAACCGGGAATACTATGCAGGAAATTATGGTGATAAAAATTATAATTCAAAACCCGGCCAAAATATAAAAATTTAAAGTAAAAATGATTAAAAATACATGCTTTTTAAATGGAAAAACTACAAAATTAAAAAGGAAGTACTTAGAATAAAAGTTAAGGGCTCAAATTTTCAGGGAATTTTTTTTTCAACCTAAAAAACAAAATTTTCATGTGTCAGCAAGAAAAAAAAATTTTCGTTTTAAATGAAACACCCTAATATATATAGGTACATTATAATATTATTTTAGCCTAAAAAGTTGTTTTTTAAATTTTTCATAGAATACATGTATAAATTTTATAAATATAAAAATATTTCAAAAAATGTTAAATATGTACACCCAAATTAATTAATTCAATACGAGCAGGTAGTAAATTCTAAATAAAGACATATTTTTAAATAAATCCCTAAGAGGCAGATGTTGACTATTTCCGAATGCTTCCGAACAGTTAAAATTGAGCATTCAAATGGACTTTACTATTTTCCGTAACTGTACATTGTTCCATTTTCGTTTATTTAATAGAACGTAGGTAATGCATTTTGCCATATTGGTGGTTATAACGTTGTTCCAGCATAACATTTAATTATTAAAGTTGCATTTTCCCTAGCTCCTACATTATATTGTTTTATAAATTGTATAAATACATACAGGGTGTCACCTAATAAATTGTCATCCTTTGGGGGGATGATAGTAAACGCCAAAACAAGAAAGTTTTTCCTCTATCATTTTTGCATTACCTAGAGATTCTGTTTTATTATGAATTTTTTTTGACAAAACCAGGGAGCCACTGGATGTCACTGACCTATCCTATATCGCTATATGATCATTGTTTTTACCTCTAAAAACAATGATATTATTCATCCAAGCAAAAAATAAACAGGTATGCGCACAGTGTATTATGTAATATCAAGCAAACTTTTAAACTGATTTAGTACTTTGTTATCATTGATTATAATCAATGATAGGTACTGATAGTTCGGTTGTTATTGTGATTTCTCTGGGGCTACATGAACAGTTTAGTGTACCAAAGCGAAGTTGACACATTAGAACAACTCCGCGAACTTGTCACTGCAGCGAAAAATGAAATCTAAAATCATCCGGATACTTTGTCTGGATAATAACGGCGGGATAGTGCATTTATTATAATTTTGTGGAACACGGAAACTTCGAGATACCTAACAATAAAAAGTAAGAATAGTGAGTATGCAAAACAAAAAAAATTATTAACAAGTACCTACCTAATGAATGATAACACAAATAAATCTAGAGCATTGCCCACTGTGCGAGCATGTTTTAGTAATTTTTCGTAGGTCAGGAACAACCAGTGGCGGCTTAAAATTTCTACTTACTTTACTTTAATGATTTTTTTATTAAAAAAATGGCACTCGTGCAAAAATGATAGAGGAAAAACTTTCTTATTTTGGCGTGTACTATCATTCCCTTAAAGGATGACAACTTATTTGGTGACACCCTGTATAAACTGTATGGGGTTTGAAAATAGTATTCGAATCAAACTATCCGAAAAGTGGATGTTTTAAGACTTAAAAAATTATCGAGATCTTGTATATGTGTGGATGGCTTCGTGAAGCGCATGGAAAGTAAACTGGTCAAAATGGACATAGTTTTCAATTAAGCCTACATTTTGTGTACCCCAAGGAAAAAGAAGAAGAATAATTAATACCTAATAGTTCCAATTATTCGAATATTGCAAAATTTAACTTATTTAATAATCGGTCGAACTAATGAAATAAGTTAAATTATACTGGTTAATAAATTTGGGAAAAAATGTTTTGTCAAATAATTGGTTATAATAATTATTATTCGAAAATTTGATACGTCTCGAATAATTCGCAAAACCCGACAGCGGTTACGCTCGCAGGTACAAAAATAAACAAAAATATTCTATTGTAGTGTTATTTTAATTTAATTTTTTTTTAATGAAAACAAACATTTACAATGGACTTTAAATATAGTTTGAGTTCAATTGGAAAAAATTTCGGGATTACGAGATATCGAAATACCAATCGTCAAAGTATAAAATATCGTAGTTGTTATTTCAAAATTGTATTATACACTGTAGGTACCTATATCAAACTAAGATTTAAATTTAATCTAAGCTATTTTATTTATTTACATGTTTAAATATTAAGCAATTGTTTATATAAAAAGTTCCAGTAATTTTTCTTACTAATTCTTAGTATACCACTACTTATCAATTGCGTATAAAATATTATTTTTAAATACCTACCTATATTAAATTAAGAAAAGGTAGTAAATATTTCTAATCAGCGGTTCCAATCTATTTTCATAAGTTTTTACCAAGCTTGCGAGCGAGTGTTTAATACAAACGAGTGTCTACATAATTTAATAAAACCAAACTTTATCTACGACGAACACAAAAGAATTTAAAGCCAATTTTAATTAATAAATATTTGACACGACGAATTTAACCTAACTTTTTTGCAATTTATAATAAAGCTAACTTCAGCCTGTAACTAAAATGTCCAAAAGCCACTATTACTAACTTCAGCCCTTGACTATAGAACCATAGATATAATTATCTATAGGACTAGAACGCCATAAAATCAAAGCTTGTCAATGTGTTAGTTACATAGATAGGGACATAAATATTTTTAAAATTAAGTTTGAATTCTAAATAAATTTAGAATAAGGTTTCTTTAAATTATATGATATATAGTATATATATATATATATATATATATATATATATATATATATATATATATACTCATTAGAGCTCATTTTATGTTTAATTTTAGTAAATGCGTACCTAGAAAGGTATTTTATACAAGATGGTAGCCAGTCTTACTCCAAACTCGAGAGGATCCTCAATCATATATATATATATATGATTGAGGAGTTTGGAGTAAGACTGACTACCATCTTGTATGAAATACCTAGGATTATGCATTTAGTAAAATTAAACATAAAATGAGCTAAAATAAACTATAGCTACACGTGGAAGCAAAAATTATGTTATGAAACTTGGGTGCGCTTCGTAGTCAAGGCCAGCAAGGTGTTATTGACAGAATTAAATTTTGTAGTAATGTTGCTATAATAATAATAATGGCATTTCATTAATTATTAAGCATGAATTGCAAAGTCAGTTAGGAATGCCTGATTCAGATAAATTGAGTAAGTATGTATCTAGTAAAATGAGAGACGCACCTTCCAACCTGCCGAGCTGTTGCTGTCACCTTTATCCTTAAAGTAGGGAACGTTTTGGACCATCCATTCATAGATCTGCGAAAGTGTCAATCGTTTGTCCGGAGAAGTTGTAATCGCTTGTGTAATAAGATCGGCGTAACTTAAATTTCCCCATGCGTTTCGTCGGCTAGAGTTCTTTTTTGTAGGTACTCCAGAGGAGGACAATGGTGCCGGCAACCCAGAACACTTGTTGCCCGTCTCATCAGTTGGCTCAACATAATTTTCCGGTCGCGGTAGAGGCCACGTGTTTGAACGCGCACGAGTCTGAGGTTCGAAACCGTCAACTTCGGCCAGAGGCTCCATGTTCATATTTAGATTCATGCTTCTTAAATATAACCTATTTCGTAGTTGGTCTTTTTAATTAAAAAATATCAAATTCAAGTTTTTTACGTATTTAAATAACCTTCACTCGTACATTTCTGCAAATATTATTGCACTTTAACTACCTTCGAACAAGTTATACAACAGTTGCTGTCTGCTAAATATATATTCTACGGCGTAATATTTGATCGCAGACCGAAATTAACTCACAGATCACTACACAGTTCAACAAGTCATCTTAAAAGCACTACGTCAATAGTGATAAAAACTTTGTTAAAGTAGTTGATTTGTTTAAAAAATCACTATTGTCATGGTATTTTAACAACCCCCAAATTATTCTACGCGTGTAAAAATAATTTCTGCTGCAGCCCAATGTTTATTTACATTTTTTTATACACATACAAGTTGTGACGCAGTACGTATAACAATGAACGAATCGTAAATTAAAATCACTGCGGAGTTCGCACGACGACTGCCGTGTCTGTTACTAATGTTGCTGCCTCAGCGTTGGAGGACATGCCCACTCAGGCATGCGCATTTTCTGGCGCCACGCACGCACACTTTGTTGTGTAATTGTGGCACACGCACCGTCCTCTACACGTGACTTACATGAATAATTGGGTTAATTCTTTCGTTAGGGTTTTCTTTTCAATCCTTCCCCCCATTTTTAAACTTCCCTTTAGTAAATTTTCCATTATTTAAGTACTCGCCTTTAATTTAACAGCCTCCTTCAATACCCAATTATTTTTTTGATGCGCTAAATTCGAATCCTACCTCAGAATTGAATAATTTAAACTTAGTGGCGTAACAAATTCTGAGTGGCCCCCCCCGCAAACGATTTTAATGGCCCCCCCTTTAGAATGAGTAAAAAGTTTATCATTACCCTTAGGTAATTTTTAAATTAGTTTATCATAGTACTTTTAAACCCACATTATATAATACATACTATTTTTTAAATTAAAATTTTTGACAGGGCGTATTCGATAGACAAACATAAGATAAGCAAATAAAAAATGATTAGGTAAGAAAAATGGCTGTATCTGCAATTTTTGGTAGTAAAACAGAAAATATTTAATTAATTTTGGTTTAAAAAAATCTAATTCTATATAGTACCTATATACCTTTTTATATGCAGGATCATTTTCGTAATTCTATAATAAGTATATAATAATCTCATTAAGATTCTTTTAAAAAAATATTTAAATAATAATTACCTAAATATTTTCTGTTTATATATACAGGGTGTCTCAGTTGGTTTTTCACTTTTTGTGGCCCTGTAAAAAAGTTGTTAGGTGGGTTGGAAGAATGGGGTTAGTCGTAAACAAACGCTTGGAATTGGGAAATTTAGTCAACATGCAGCGTTACACAGGAGAACAACGCGCTTTTTGTATGCGCGAGTTTTATAAAAATAACAATTTTTGCACTTTGTTTAGACGCCATTACAATTTACACGACATTTAACAATGCCCAGGCATTAATTTAATTAGGGCATGGGTTCGTAAGTTTGAAGAGACTGGTTTAACGACAAATAAACGCATAACCAACCGTTTAAAAACAATAAGAAGCTCTGAAAACATTGAGATGGTGAGAGCGTCTATGCGGCAGGAACCAAACTTGTCGGTTCGCAGGCGTTATGTCGACATGATACGTGATTTTTGACACCTGCTCTTGAAGAATTTGAAAGATTTGACCAAGAAAGCTGGTTTTAACAAGACGGAGCCACAAGTCACACTTCAAATCGGTCTTTGCCCGTTGTTCAGGCGTTTTTTCCTGAAAAACTGATTTTTCGAAGAGGTGACATAAATTGGCCCCCCAGAAGCCCGGATTTGACTCCATGCGACTTCTTTTTATGGGGATATCTTAAAAGTCGAGTTTATCGTAACCACCCTGCCAATTTGGAGGACTTGAAGCACAATATTCGGGCAGAAATGAAAGCCATAAGTGAGTAAACTTTTCGGAGCGTGATTGCAAATTTTAGAGCTCGACTTCAAGAGTGCCAGGAAAAAAATGGGCAACATTTGGACAAAATAATTAAAAAAAAAAAAAATTCCCAAGTTTTTTCTTTAATTTAATAAAAAATTTGTCAAAATTGATCGATTGGTTTTTTAAAATTTTAAATTCAAAAAGTGAAAAACCAAATGAGACACCCTGTACATATATAAATATATGTATATATATATGTATATATATATATATATATATATATATATATATATATATATATATATATATATATATATATATATATATATATATATATATATAATTATAATTCCGTTAATAAACGATGCGAATTTGCAAAGAACCATATTGTCGATAAAAAGTACCTAATTATTAAAATACTTAAATACAGTTTGCATTTTTATCCACCATGGTAATTCTATAAAGTTAATATTTTGTCGTATTGCATTTAATTTAATTTTTTTTAAATTGTTCAATTTTAACAAATAATTTTTGCATAACTTTCAAACCAAATAACGATAGAATTAGAATATAACAAATAACATTATTAATTTAGCAAATATTAACATTTTAAAAAGCGTTTATTAGATGGCGCAACCACCGCACTTTATTTCTCGGGCATGTTTAAAATCAACGAATAATTTAATAATTTAAACAAAAAATACTTATACGTTTAGTTCTTTAGGATTTTTAAGATTAAATATTTATAAAATTAAACATTTTTTTAATTTAATTTAAATTTTTATAGTTGACCCATAATGAGGCCCTGGCAGCCAACAGCCGGCAAGGTGAGCCTTGGGCCTCCTGACCGTCTGGACCCCCCCGCGGTGCGAGGTCTGCGGGGGTGCTTATTACGCCACTATAGTTACTATAAGTTACTTAAACTATATCAACACTCACTACTTAAGTAATTGATTATCGCCTATGGGCTGTCAAAATAATTTCGACCATTAGGGTAAAGTCTGTAAAAAACCCATTTGAATATTTATTCATATTCATCATTTAACAAATAAAATTGTGCCTTGGCTAAGTATCTTTTGTTCTTCGCTCAATTGTAAGCCTCCGCTACGCATCGGCCTTCAAACTTTAAGATCTACACAAAAGGTTTTACTTTTCAGCCTTATAACATAAATAACTATTTTTTTCAGAATTCGTTAAAGAAATGTAATATAACCTCAAATAGCCTATTTGAAATAGATAGGTAATACTCTAAAAATTAATTTTTATCAATTTTGGTTAGATTCCAGAGGAAATCAAACCTATCTATTACAACAGTAAGTAAGAAAGTTAACCTTGGCACAAGAAAAACCATGGTCAAGCTCTTAGGTAATGTATCTGATTTTTCTATAGACGATTACTACTATTACTACAAATTCCATTTCTGGCACCAACAAACGCAAAATAAAAACGCACACGTGTGTTGTATTGTGCTTTTCATACAATTTGCTGGTTCAGTTTTGAACATCGTCTATTTTATTAATGAATAAACTTTAAATAAAATTGTTTGATTATTTTTTTACGAACTGTTGTATTTTAGTTCGAATAACAAGCGTGGGAAAAGATGTACTTTTGTTATGGCAGATTAAAAAGATTAAAAAAACGCAACCCAGACAGCAATATGACGTCTTGATTAAGTCTGCATAAGCTCTATTTTATGATTTGTACGATCCAACATCGAAAAGAAGTTTTTAAGAAGTTATTACTTCGAATGCGCCACCTATAAGACTTAAATAAATAAGACTTCTTGAAAAAGAACTCTTAAGGAACCCTGTCTTTGACTTCGCAAATAAGAAATCTCAACTTATAAATAGACATAAATATGATTTCTTTAGAATTTACTGTTTTAGATATTTACTACTGGAGTACTAGTAAAAAATTACATACTGGATCGTTGGTTATTTTGACGCCACAATGTGTTTAGTTTAATTAACATAAAACAAACAAATTTTTGAAATGGTACTTATTTCCCATATAAATATAAAGAGATGGCTAAAAGAATTCCCAGTAAGCACACAAACGTCCCTGGGACATCCAAATTTTGTCAAAACAGACCGACGCGACCTGGCCGTTCTAGGGACAGTCAAGTAGGACCACCTTATGCTGGTCATTTACAGGACGCCTAAGGATATCCTACGGATGTCCAATAAAGTTTTATTAAAATCAAATCAAAGAGCATGACTCCCCAAAAACAATAGTATCATCTTTATAGTTACTTTTTTATAACAACTTTATACCTTAATTTATAAATAAGTATAAAAAGGTAAAAGATAAATTTAAATAATTTCAGGTAAGTAATTGTACGGTGTAGGGACCAGACTCATTAGGTTAGTTCCAATCGGCAGTAATTTTCAGTAATATTACTAACACACGCGCATTTGTATTTCCATTATTTAAACACGCTTTAAAAAAAGTAAGAATAAAGGAAAAACATTTAAAAATAAATTATTTTGTATTTTTTTCTCTATTTCGTTCAAATTAATTTAAAATACTTTTAAGTCTAAAATAATATTGTGTCAGTAATATTACTGCGGTTGGAATGTACCTATTACCGTACGTAATTCCCAACATTCAAATTTTAAGCAAAAAATTCTAAATTTTCAAAATAAATTTACAAAACTTATGTTAAAAATTTGTATCTGTTTATAATTTTTTAAGTTTCATGGCGCTCACTGACCTCTGGTGGAGTCTTACTAAAGTGCCCTACAATACCGACTTTTTTTAATGTAGGTATTTTATTCTTTTATGTTTTTTATGTATATTGTTGTTTCTTAAATTTTTATGTATTTTATGTATATTGTTATGTTTCTTAAATATTTTTAATAAATTTATTTCTTAAAAGGGTAAAAAAAGATGAACAATTTTTTTTTGAAGATTTATTTATATTCATCATTTTTACAAAATATTACTACCCTTTTTATTCCAAAAAATTCGCACCCCCATTTAGTAAGTACGATCCTGCGAGCTATAGTACGGTAATTTGAATTACGCGGTACCGACTATCGAATTCAAGTTGGCAACCCTGGCGCTGCATTAATGTACCATGAGTCTCGTGGCACGTGTTAAAATCAGTTTTGTATTGTTTTGTGGTTTGGAAGTTTAGTTAACAATAGATACAACTTTAGTTTACATTTGTGTGCCTTTTATATTTAATGAAGGTAGGTATGTATTAAATAATATATATTTCTGAGCAAATTATTGTTTTTTCTAGTAAATTTATAATTAACCATAATGCATCTCTTCGAGGTGCCGCCCGATTAACGACAAAAAAAGCTTTCCTCTTTTTTTATTGATGCCGTTATAAATTAATATAATTTCTTTAAATTGCATAACTATAGTATAACTATTGTATTTCTTATTGCAGTTTCGTGTTGTATGGTCTTCACCTGTTGCTTGTTTTAAATAACCTCACTTTATTTTTTCATTTAGTTAAATAAATACCTATATAGGTAGTTATATTTATTTAAAACAATTTAGCATTTTAAGTTCAGAAACAATTAAATTTATTTAAAAAAAGATACACCTTGTTTAGTTTACCATATATATGCTTATATAAGTTTATTAATAAAATTGATATTATGTTAACCTATTCTATCAATTCCCAAATTATGTAAGGTACAATTCGGATTACCCTGAATATTTTTATTTCATTTATTTTTTTATCAGAATTATAGTTTTTGTTACAAAAGATGTTAAAAATAAATAG